CATCATCATCATCGACGTCATCATCAGCAGCAGCATCATCATCATCAGCATCATCATCATCATCATCATCATCATCATCATCATCATCATCATCATCATCATCATCATCATCATCATCATCATCATCATCATCATCATCATCATCATCATCATCATCATCATCATCATCATCATCATCATCATCATCATCATTATCCTCGTCCTCCTCCTCCTCCCCCTCCTCCTCCTCCTCCGGATCTTCCCCACCCTCCTCCCCCAAGTGTGCCCCGAAGGGTTTCTACAACGGCTGGGGGAACAAATGGCCCGATAGCTTGGCAGGGCGATTCCCAAAGGCAGGGGGTGGCGGTGGTTCGCCGTAGGCGCCTTCGATCCGCAGCCCCCTGTTGGCTTGCCACAGGGGTGCCTGGCGTGCCAGACTTCAGCGCGCCGACCATCCAAAGGACTCGCCCAGAGATGCTTGCAAACGAATGTCTCGCTCCAGATGGCTCCAAGATGGCTCAAGATGACTTCCAAGACGGCCAAGATGGCCCTCTAGTTCGCCCAAGATGGTCCAAGGTGGCCTCCAAGGCGGCCCAAGAGCGTCCAAGATGCCTCCAAGTTTGCCCAAGAAGCCTCGAAAACAGCCCAAAAATGGCTTCAAGATGACGGAAGACGGCCCACGAGGCCCCAGAGAGGCCTCCAAGACGGCCCAAGAGGCCCCCAAGAGGGCCTACAGGAAGGCCCGAAGAGACCAAACTAGGGTGTTGTAAGGATTTGGGCAGTTGCTCCTTTTCAGCCTTCCGACGGCCCGAGACACCTCCAAGAGCCCCCAAAAATCACCCCAAGATCGCCCAAGAGGCCTCCAAGATGGCCACAGAACGGCCCAAGAGGCCCCAAAGACGGCCCCAAGAGGGCCCCAAGACGACCCAAGAGGCCTCCAAGATGCCCAAGACGGCCTCCGAGACGGCCCTGGACCACCCCAAGAGGGCTCCGAGTCGGCCCGCCCAGAGAGGCCCCCAAGATGGCTTCCGACGGCGTCAGACGGGCCAGGAACGCCCTAAGACGGGCAAAGAGGCCCCCAAGAAGCTCCCAAAGGCCCCAAGAGGCCCAAGGAGGCCCCCAAGATACCGCCAGGAGGCTCCCAAGAAGCTCCCCAGAGGCCCCAAAAGTGCCACCAGAGGCTCTCAAGATACCCCCTCCTCCTCCTCCCTCTCCTCCTCCTCCTCCTCCTCCTCCTCCTCCTCCTCCTCTTCTTCTTCTTCTTCTGCTTATTCTTCTTTTTCTTATTATTCTTCGTATTATTCTTATTATTCTTCTTATTATTATTATTCTTCTTATTATTATTCTTCTTATTATTATTATTATTATTCTTAGTATTCTTCTTCTTCTTATTATCATTATTATCCTTATTATTAATATTATTAGTATTATTATTATGATACTTATTTTTCTTATTGTTATTCTCATTATTCTTATTAGTATTCTTAATCTTATTATTCTTATTATGATTATTACTATTATTATTGTTGTTATTCATAATTTTCTTCTTATGCTTATTATTATTACTACTATTATTATTCTTACTATTCTTATTCTTAGTATTATTAGTCTTATTATTATTATGCTTAGTATTATTATTAAGATTAGTATTCTTAGTCTTATTCTTATTATTATTCTTATTATTATTATTATTAGTAGTAGTAGTAGTAGTAGTATTAGTCGTCATATTCTTCTTATTAGTATTAGTTGTTTTCTTAGTATTGTTCGTTTTCTTCTTCTTGTTATTATTATTATTATTATTCGTATTATTCGTCTTCTTATTATCATTATTATTATCATTACTATTATCATTAGTATTACTAGTAGTATTAATATTATTGAAAAAATAATAATAATATTATTGTTTTTATTATTATTATTATGCTTATTCTTCTTCGTCTTCGTCTTCGTCTTCGTCTTCGTCTTCTTCTTTTTCCTCTTCCTCCTCCTCCTCCTCCTCCTCCTCCTCCTCCTCCTCCCCCTCTTCCTCCTTATCCTCCTGATCTTCCCCACCCTCCTCCCCTAAGTGTTTCCCGAAGGGGTTCCACAACAGAGAACGTAGTCGGATAGGTTGGCAGAGCTCTTGCCACGACGCTCGGCCACGTGGGCGATTCCAGAGGAAGGGGGCGGCGGTGATTCGCCGTAGGCGTCTTCGATGAAAAAGGAAGGCCAGCCCACAGGAGGACCCGAAGCAGGACGGCGGCGGTCCCTGCGCCGGCGGCGCCGGGGCAGGCCACGGCTGGCTGGCCGCCGCCGGCGCCTGCGATGGCCACGCCTGCGCGCTCCGCCGAGGCCTCCTCCTCCTCCTCCTCCTCCTCCTCCTCCTCCTCCTCCTCCTCCTCCTGCTCTCTCCTCCTCCTCCTCCTCCTCCTCCTCCTCCTCCTCCTCCTCCTCCTCCTCCTCCTCCTCCTCCTCCTCTCCTCCTCCTCCTCCTCCTCCTCCTCCTCATCATCATCATCATCATCATCATCCACATCATCACATCATCATCATCATCATCATCATCATCATCATCATCATCATCATCATCATCCTCTTCTCCTTCTGCTTCTTCCTCCTCCTCCTCCTCCTCCTTACCATCCGCCTCCTCCTCCGTCGTTCATGTTCCTCCTCCTCCTCCTCCTCCTCCTCCTCCGCCTCCTCCTCCTCCTACTTCCACAATATCACATTGTGGCGACTACTCTCCTCTCTCCCTGGACTCGGTCCTGACGGCCCTCTCCGCACCTTGTCTTTGCACACACGGGGGTGCAAAGTTATCATTCGCGTGGCCTTTTGCCATCCGATTGCTCTCGGCGTTTTGAAATGGCACTCCCGCTGCAGCGTGGTCCTCGTGTTCGGATCGGCGCTTTGCTCCCGTCGTTCCGAATGGCGCTCCCTCCCAGGCGCGGGCCATTCTTGGGGGCCCGACTCCTTTCTCATCGTCCAGGCTCCTCCTCCTCCACCTCCTCCTGCTCCTCCTCCTCCTCCTCCTCCTCCTCCTCCTCCTCCTCCTCCTCCCCCTCCTCCCTTCGGCCTGGCCTCAGGTGGCCTGGCGCGCCGGCCCCCTGGCCTGCCAGCCGCGCACGGCATAGGCACGGCGGGCAGAGCATCTCCCGAGCCTGCCTGTCACAGGCGGCAGCGGGCTCGACGCGCGGCGGCCCGGGTGCCAGTCAGGCTTGCACACTCAGCCGTTGAGGCAGCTACAGCCAAAAATATGGCTAAGAGAATGCTCCATTCGAAACCAGTGGGCCAGCTTCTCAGGAGTTTCTTAAGGAAACGCTGGGCCGGCTTTGGGAGCCAGGAAGGTACACGATTCATGTCTAGGGTCCACGGCTATCAATCTCCTTGAGAAACTGAGCCAGCTGTCCGGCAAGCTGGTTAAGAAACGCTGGGCCCGCTTTTCGGGGGGAGGTTTCTTAATCATAAGCAGAACAGTAGTGAGCTACTAGCTCAGCAACACTATACACAATGCTCTCGCTCAGCAAATATGTCAGGTTCTTGGCTGTGTTCCTCCCGTGGTGTGTCCAGTTTCGACGAAGGGGACACCTGCGGCATTTGTTCGAAGCCGTGGAAAGCCCCAGCAACAAAAAGACCACAGCGTGGACAGCGGTCACCTGAGCCTACCGACTCGAGTCGAGCCCGTGGCAAGGGCAAAGCACGCTCACCAAAGGGCAAGGGCAGCGACACGGAGTCCTCAGAGAGAGCGGCTAGTCGTTCTCCGCGCCAGAGTTCTGTCGGGTCTCCAGAGCCAGATCAGGATCAAGACAAAGGGGAGCCCAACCAGGAGTCGTCGCCGTCAGGATCGCCTGCTCCTCCTCACGCGGCAAGAGCTCACCCCAGAGCTCCCGAAGGAGCCTCCGGAGCCTGCGCCCCCCTCAGGGTCGCAGAGCCTCCTCCTCCTCCTCCTCCTCCTCCTCCTCCTCCTCCTCCTCTTCCTCCTCCTCCTCCTCCTCCTCCTCCTCCTCCCGTTCTCCTCCTCCTTCCTCCTCCTTCCCCCTCCGCTTGCTGGCACGATCAGAATGAAGGAGGAAGCTGGGTTTGTTGAAGGGGCCCCAGGACACACAAATAAATACACACAAATAAAAAAAAGATTCCCCATCTTTTCCAACATTTTCTGGGTTTTTGTCTTCCCCACCACTTCCCATATTTTCACATATGTTCTGGGGAATCGACGGTTAATTGTGTCTGTGTGTTTTTTTCCCTCCTGGTTTGCTGCGGGCGAGGAGAGAGGGTGACATGCCGCTGTGCTCGCCTCTATCCACCTGTCGGCCCCATGCGGAACAGGGCGATCGTCACTCTTTTTATTTTTTTTTCAGCGCACATTTTGGGAGGGGAAGGAGGAAAGCTGAGGGGGCGATACGCGACGCCGTAATCCAGTCCAATCCGGCTCGAAATCGGCAGCTTGGCAGCGTGGTTGCCGCAATCGGTCGTCACGCGCAACAGGTCGATCGTCGCTCTGCCGCCCTGGCGCGAGCCAGCGCTCGCCCGGTTGCAGGCGGTCCAGTCGGACATCGAGTCCAGGCACGAGGAGCTCGATACGCGTTCGAGGATCGAAGGGGCGTGGCCCTGCGGTGGGTCAAGAGGCCTACGGAGGCGCCCGCGGAGCTGCAGGCCGACACCCCGAAGCATCAGATGGAGGCCGACGCCGAAAGTAAGAACAGCAGGCTCCACGGCCTCCTCCGCCGACCTACAGTCGGGGCCTTGACCTAAGGAACCCAAAATCAGGAACGAGGCCCCTTTTTTCCATAAGTTAAACTTCGATTTCCAATCGAAAACAGAAGGAAAGCCTGAGGCAAGCTGCGAAACACGTAAGGAACGCGGAGCCCCTCCCCAACGAAAAGGGTTCCTTCTTCAGGGCCACGACTGTATGCGCGCCCATGAAGCAGTCCTTTCTCAAGTCAGAAGTGGTGCAATCGTCGTGCGCGAAGGCATCTGCCTCGGAGGTCAGCCCTGCTGCGACGTCTCAGACCCCCCTCCCAGAGACTGCTGGCCTGCAGGGGCAGCTCCAGGCTCTCAGCCAGAAGTTCCTGAACGTGCAAGCTGTCCTCGACCGAACCGTTCTCGACATCGCAACGCAAATGAATACACTCATGGCGAAGCACAGCAAGAAGCGTTGCTACGGGCAACGCAGACGACTTCGACAGCGGCGACCTTAGCATCAGCAGCTGCGGCATCATCTGCAGCAGCCTCGGCACCGGCTTCCTTCGTGCCCGGGCAGCGCTCTCCCGAGCCGCGTCGACGCCACGCGGGCAGAGCAGGCAGATCATTTTCACCCTCGTCAAGAGCGAGAGAGAGAGAGAGAGAAAAAAAAAAAAAAAAAAAAAAAAAAAAAAAAAAATCGGCCACCGCCTACGAGACAGGACCCCATCGACACCCCCGCGGAGGTTGCTGCCCCCCGACTTCAGAGGGAGATCTGGAGGGGGCCCCCTGCTCCGTGTGGCAACGAGCACGGGGCAGGCGGCAGGCCGTCTGGGCCGACCCTGTTCGACTACGCCTCCCTTCGGCCTCGGCTCCAACGTCGTGCGAGCCAAGTTTCTTCGCAGTCCCAGCACTGCAGAAGAGCTGTTTCGTCCGTGGCAGAATGGTCTTCGTTCTGATTGGCGGCGCCTCAGCGTATACTTCCCGCCGTCTACTCTGGGAACCCTCTCGGCTTTGAGTTCCCCACCCTCGAACGTCGAGCATCTCAAGTCTTTCACACTTTGTACTGACGGGACTGGTGGTCTGTCCAAGGAGTGTGGTCCGCCAGCGCGGGCAGCTGCAGTCTTTGCGCCTACACACGATGGTCACGAGTCGCTCCTGTGCTACGCTGCAAGCACCTTCGACCCAGAGTCCGTGGGATTGCCAGCTAGCCAGATTAGTTGGGCAGCGGAGGGCCTTGGGCGTGTGTGGGCTATTTCTTGGTCGTCACAGGCTGGGGTTGCTCAGGTGACCTTCTTCCTCGATAACCTCGCCGTCCTCAACTCTCCTCCTGGTCAGTGGGTCCTACTAGCTTCGGGCGGGCTTCCCCAGGCCCTGCGAGCCTTCGTCTTGGTAAGAGAAACGGTAAGCGGTTCGGCTTGTGCACGCGTGAAGGCTCGCAATGAGGACCCCTTCAACGAGCTTGTTGACTCGCTCGCGGCTGTGGCCTCGTCGGGTATCGCGGAGGAGACCCATCGGTGCCCTTGGGAGCCTCTTCTGGAGGATCCAAGCTCTGCGTCATGAGCCTGGCTCAGCACATCCCAGAAGAATCCGATGGCAGTTTCCCCCGCCTTCGCAAGGCGAGCTTGTTCTCGGGTCTGACGATGTGCCTGGCACGCAGATTCCTCCCACGGCCGACACATCCAGGTGTCATGGCATTCCGCTGGGTGATGCGCAGCTGGAGGATCCCGTTGCAGACGCCGTCGCTATCAGATTGAAGCTCACCCTTGCCTTCGCCAAGGTGCTGACCTCACAGCAAACAAGGCGGGGCAAGCCCATTCCGGCAGGCCCAGCAGGGCGACCCGGGCAGCTTGCGGCACAGCTCGCACACGCCAGGCTGGATGTCATCGGGCTGACAGAGACGAGGATGCCGAGGCAAAGCTGGGCCATCGCGGGTTCCTACTCGGCTCTCTATGGTCCTCGTCCTCCTGAAGGCTCCTACGGGTGTTCAACTTGGTTCAGGCACAACGTCCAATGGCTTCTGGGTAGGCCCCACTCTGCTTTGTCTAGCAACAAGATGGTTGTCCACAATGCTACGCCTAACCTCTTTGTGCGTCAGTGTGAAGGTTGAAGCGTTTCTCATCGCGTTCGTTGTCGCGCACGCCCCGCACTCCAAATCTACCCTGGAAGATCGCAATACATGGTGGGGGGACTCAAGGAGGAAGGCTTCGGAGATAAAGTACCCATCGTCGCACGCATCGCGGCTGCTAGATGCGAACGCGACGCTCGGTTCAATCCTGCCTCCCTCCGTCGGGCCGTTGGCAGCGGCCCCTCGGAATGAGAACGGTGGCGCGTTGCATCCCGCGCTGCTTGCGGCAGGCATGGCAGTGCCCTCCACGTCTCAAGGCGATCCTTCTGAAGCAGCTGTGTAAACTCCCCCCGCAAGGCTTTTTTCCCTGCGAGGAAGCTCTGCTCCTCTGGGAAGCATGTCTTCTGCTTATGGTGTGAGGGTTTACCGTGAGGTGGAATTGGCAGTATCTAGACAAGACCACCTTTGGTGCAGCTTGCGGTTTCGTTCGACATCGATTCCTCGCGCGGTTCCCGTTCGACGCCCACGAGACCCCGAATATGGGAGACCAAGCTCGAAGACCCTAACTGTCGTAGTGCGTTGCTTTCCTTACGTATATGAGATCGTGTC